CACCTCGGAAAGTGTAATTTTGCGCTTCGAAATCTGGCTGGAAAATTCTATTTTATTCGCTTGAGCGGCAAAGTAGATTTGAATTTAGAACATCACATATAATGAGTACTCAATATAATTGTAAATTCAAAACGTCATTAAACCTATTTAATGTAACCTCTATGGTGCCAAATTTATGATTAGAACTTTTTAAATTGTGAAAAAATTTAAATTTGGAACCTTCTTGGTTTCTTTGTTTTATTTGCGTGCTTCGCGCCATTCTAGTTTTTCACGTTTTATTGCTTAATATAATTAACATAACCTAAAAACTGTACAAAAAAATCAACTAAAATGAGTGACATTAGCGACGATGAAGTTTATCTAACGCCAACTGAGTTAACTGAAACAGTTAATAATGCGCAAATGAGCCTTCTCCCTCAGCAATCACGAGAGAAGTATTTGAAACAGTACGATATATTTAACATGTGGCGACTAGCTAAAGGAGCAAAAACTTTCTCCGAAAACGTTTTGCTGGCATATTTTATAGAATTATCTGAGACCAAGAAAGCAAGCACGCTATGGAGTACGTATTCAATGCTAAAATTAACAATTAAGATGAAGAAAGACGTTCATATCGACACCTATCATAAATTAGTGGCATTTTTAAAAAGAGCCTCATCTGGTTATAAACCAAAAAAATCGAAGGTTTTCACAGCATCTGAAATTGCAAAGTTTATTAATGAAGCACCTGATTCCGTATATTTAGCGGCAAAAGTAAGTCAATACGTGTAATTTTTTGTTGTTGATAAAATTGTACATAGTACTTACAATATTTTTAATTTGATTAATTTATTTACGATTATAAATACTTCTTTTGTTACAGGTTGTTCTTATTATTGGTATAACCGGAGCATGTCGAACAAATGAACTTACACTACTTAATGTCAATAACGTATCAAAATATTCTCATAATTCTGATGAATTGCTATTAATTAATGTACTAAATACCAAGACAAAAAAAGACCGCAACTTCGTTATTCGCAAGGAATATGTAAACATTGTTCAGAAATATCAAGCTTTACGTCCTTCTAACACCCCAATTGAACGATTTTTTCTACAATATCGCAACGGAAAGTGCATCCGACAACCTATGGGTCAGAATAAAATTGGCAGTATTCCACGAGAAATAGCAACTTTTCTCGGACTTTTAGAACCCCCGTTATACACCGGTCACTGTTTTAGAAGAACCTCAGCCACACTTTTGGCCGAATCAGGGGCTGATCTTCTATCGCTTAAGCGCCATGGAGGCTGGAAGTCTAATTCGGTTGTAGAGGGATACATAGAGGATTCAATCCAAAGTAAATCAAAAATTTGTAATAGTATCGTGGAGGCCATAACGCTGAAAGAACCTCTGTCAGATTCTTGGTCTCGCCCTTCTACATCTAAAATGAGCCCCCATAAGATTGGAAACAATAGCCCTCTCTCGCCAACATTTACGCCAATAGAATCCAATGAATCGGCACAACTATTTAAAATTACTGATACGAGTAGTTTACCACAAAACAGCGCACAATTCACAAACACCAACATAACATTACCTAACAAAAATATTAAACTTAACATAAGTAACTGTAGCAACGTTACATTTAATATTTCTTAATTATTTTCTACTTCTTATTATTTTCTTCAATTTATAGATTATCTTAATGTGTTTTAATTGAAATAAAAATATTTTGTCATTATAAATTGTTTTCTTTTTCATTTTGTCATTTCCTCGCTGAGGTGGGATGAAAAGTTACGTATTGCACTCGAGTGGAAAGATTTTTCACCTTGTGCTCGTTTGTTTCCTTCGCTTGCTCGGTCATCCAAATCGAGCACGCGGTTAAAAAGGAACTTTCCACTCTTGTATAATAAATAACTATTAACTTCTTTTCAACCGAGTGTCCCACGACACTCAGTTTATAAAACCTGAGTGTGGTGGGATACTCGGTTGGATATATAGATAGATATATAATTATTATGTACTGTTATAGCTAAATTAAATATTTCTCTGACTTTTTATGTCTGTGACTGACTCGAACACGCACTTTTTCCTTTTTAGTTTCTCATTAAACTAATATAAAAAAGGAAAAAAGTTATCTGTATAACACAAAATAAAAATATATCCAAGTGACGGTAATATCGAATTGACAAAACTTAATTTTTTAACGATAGTTATATCACGATACAGTCATATTATTGACTAATATATTTTTTTCCTCAAACTATAACACAGCAGTTTCTCTATCTCTTTCTAACACAACACATAAGACAGAATAGGTTTCAACAAATACACCAACGAACGTAGACATTAGCAGGCATCAGTCAGACAAAGAAACAAAATACAAATTGTGTAATAAATAATACACTAAACGGTTGTACACTTGTCTACGCCGATTGTTGCCGGCTATTAAAACTACATTACAGAAAATAATGTACAATCGCGGCCAATACCAATAGAAAGCTTATATTTTCATCTATGGTTTAGGGAGTATGACTATTTTTGTGTTAATCAGAAAATATTACCCGTGTGGTGTGTTTAACTGTTGCAATCACCAATGCCTTAATAACTAGGTATCCCTAATCTTTGTAAATATTATTAAGCAACAAATAGTAATCATAAATGATAATTCTAGTCAAATATTTGTACTAACCTTATAATTACCACCAGTTTACGTTACGTTTCAACTAAAGTATTACATTTATAACCTCACTGAAATTGAAAACTCTGTCTTTTTTAAGTTTTCTCAAACGCTTATATCGTGGAGTGTACCACTTTAAAACAGGAAACCCAAGTATTGACGTACTCTCATGAGTAACGGACATAAATTATGGAAATGGGATGAAATTAGGAACATCACTATGTATTAATAACCTTTAACATGCGTTTGACCCTTATTGTTTTATAATGATTAGTTTCTGATAGATAATTTATTTATTTTTAAAAAGTGACAATGGACAAGTACTTCTTTTTAATATTTATAAAACCAGATAGGTAATTCTCCTATCCTTCTCAAGGTCCTCAAGGTGAAGGTTATCCGTCCAAGCTAGAATCAAATCAGCACAAGTTCGCTCGGGCACTCGAATTCAGACCGGACTCTACACTTTTCTTGAAATTTTAATTATTAGTTATTTTATCCCTACACGATATATATATTTTTTTTAAACACACACCAATTAGCCCAGCCCCAAAGTAAGCACTGTAAGGCTTGTGTTATGGGATGCTAGGGTAACGGATAGAATACATATACTGTACATATATAAGTATATTCATATAGAAATATTAAACATCCATGACTGGAGTACAAATGCTCGTATTCATTATACAAACATCTGCTCCCACCGGGATTCGAACCCGGGACCTCTCGAGCCGGCGACACAATGAAACCTGGCGTACAAACCACTCCGCCACGGAGGTCGACAATATATATAATACATATGAATAAAATTAAGTTTGACAATCAGATGGATAATAAACGGCTGATAATGGTTTGTTAGATAAGGAGACAATTAGCCTGATTGTGAGCAAATTTATCGAAACTATTTGACAAACGAAATTTGGCAATTCTATAAAAAACAGAAGACTGCTGAAATTTTTATTTGAAGTTGAAGGAATCTGAGCAGAATTACTTAATTTGAGAATATAAATCTGATGTAATTTAGAAGAAGAAGCAATTTATATTGGTTGTTGGATAGCATCAGTTATTTCTTACAACGAGTTAATTATGGTTTCTAACCATTAAAATGATTCCTTCCTAACCTTATTTGCCCATCTGGCACTGAATAGATAAAAAATCTTAAAGGGATAGCTCATTATTAGATTATTTTTGCATCAGTGGAACATTTAAAGACTTAATCCATAATCGGATGCCGCAGATATCCAACAGTCAACGAATACATCTAGCTGGGTGGTCGTTGACAGAATCTTATTGTGTAAAGATCGCAACAATTATCATTTCGACCGAACAATACCCCAATCCCTGTGGGCTCAGCATTGACAAACCGAAAATGTCACAATCCTATTGTGGTACCGTCGAGATGGCGCTACCGCACACATAACCACTTGTTAGCAAAAGTCATTTTTTTGCACTTACACCCGTGTGACAAGGAATGGACAAAGGTGGAGTGATTTTCGAAATAGGCTTTCGGATTTTGTAAATAGTAATGGGATTGAGTTTTTTACAAAAGTGGAGTTTTTAAATGGATTTTCCTACCTTTATAAGTTATAACTTATTTTTTTTCTTTCAATGCTATTATACTAAATTAGATTTAATAAATGTTTCATACTTTTATTATAATTTGCGTTCACACAAATGAATGACTGAAAATCGTGACTCCATAAAATTGCTCCATAATAAGAGACGACTAACATAATTAAATGGCGGAAAATTCGCCAGCGTAAAATTAAAAGTGTATACACTACAAAAAAGGCAGCTGCACAAAACAACCGACAGATACATAATAAACATAAACCCAACGCAAAGGTGCACGGGGCAACCTACGTACTTATATAGAACTAAAACGCAGCGCACATGTGCGCTAAAAAGCCACATTTGCGCAAACAACGTCACAAAATCCGCAGCACACTCATCCGGCTTAGGGCCTAAAAAGCGCCGGCGGTGACACCTACCTCCCCCTCCCCCTCGCTCATCAGCCGTCTCGCTCGCACGCCCGCGCTTCATCCCACAAACGACACAATGAGACACACACTTTTGCCACCAGACGACCCAAACGACAACTCCGCATCGCAGAAAACCCGCCCTTACTCGCCTAGCTTTAAAGCCATCGGTCTAAACGCGCGACACATTAGAGGACACCTATCGTTACATCACAAAACGGCACAACAAACTCGCGCGCTCGGCTAATTCTAACCTTAATCTTAGTTTAATAGACGACAGATTCGTTTGAACGTTACGAAGGTGGTATAAAGACACAGTTTTCAAATGTCACGCAGTGTAGTCGTCTCTTTTCTCCGGAGTCCTGTCGCATCTGCTGGCTCCTTTGGCATCCTTCAGTGTGCAGTGTCCCCCCGCACATCTTTCATCCCGCTCTGGGCCGCTGAAGCCCAGTGTCCGGCCTCGCAGACTGCTAGACGGTTGTGTCTGCCATACAACATACTATATTTATGTCTCACGTACTACAACATATAGGATAAAGGATTAGGTGTGACATGCACTGTGTAGTGACTGGCTGTGCTATTTGATGTTTGTTTGTGAGGAAGATTTCCAGAAGCATTCATGATTCAGGTCAGTTACGTTACTCTTGTTTATGTTCTTAAAAAGTTATTATTTAAAAACAATGCTATTTTCTTAAAAAAACATTACTGAGACCCATCGTTCTTTGAAAAACTTTAATGAAAGGCTGTATTGTGATGATAGGATTACAAAAAAATAAACTAAGTAGAGAAAAGGCAATTATTTATTATCTAGTTAATTAAATCTAATAGGTTTGTCTCTACATCGCATAAAAGTTAAACTTTGAAATCGATAAAAGAATTATACTTGAGTTGTTTTTGTAATTAGGTAAAATTAAAATATCAACTGTTTGTATGCATTATTTATTAAATCGATATAGCAGTAACAATCAAAGTTTGCAATACAAAAAGCTTACAATACGAAACGAAAGCTTTACTTTTTTTTTGAAAATAATATTTAACTTTACATACTGCAAAAATGGGAATAAAGAAAATTCAAATGTAAAATGAAATATCAAAATTTCTAAATTCTATTATTTTAAGTTACTACATTTCTTAATCAGACGTCAATCTTACAAAAAAGATAGAGTCTGTCTACCCCAGTTTTCTATGTCAATAAGACTACTTTATTATGATTTTTGTTTTCATGAAATGTTGTTACATATATGATGAAAAACTTTAAGTAGATAGTAATAAAAACTTTTCTTTAACAATTTGTAACCTACATGAAAACCAATATTACTAAGCCATAGGTCGAAGCCCGCTCGCACGTTTCGTAACCTTAATAAATTAAATTTGTAGATAATTATACATAATAGGCTGCACAAAAACAAACCTTATTTAATAAACAATCGTAGATATTTAGCAATTAAAAAAACTCGGAATATATTTTAAGTGGGCGGAAGCTTTTTACGAAATCGGGTGCACAGTCGTTTAATAAAGTGAGTGGGTGTTCTTGTAGTGAATTGAAAAGCTATTTAATTACACTATGAAATGAATGTGTTCATTAAGAACAGCTGTTTTGGGTGCCAATTAAAACTTACTAACCCATCTTTGTTTATCCAAATACAGAAACCATTTTTAAATTCGTAGCTTTTATTTTGTTATCAGCTTAAGCGTGCTGTAGAGAAAATAGGCACAATTTTAAATTTAATTGAACAAGATTTTTTAAAGTTTAAATTTAAACAATAAGAGGTAAATTTACAAACATGACATGAGCTTGTAAATCCCATAAAGTTAGTTTTTTTAGAGTTTATTGTCTATGTTACAACTTTAACTTTAGCGTAAAAGTTCAATAGCATAGAAATACTTTGTCAGGCGTCTATGATATCATCTAACCATAATTATTATAATAATCTTGCGCTGGTATAAGTTACAATTTTGCGTATAAAATAGGTATTGTTATATATTCAATAATCAGACTTTTAGTTTCGTCAATGAAAATAATTCTGGTTATCTCTAAAGAACTACGAAATATTCTACACATTTTCCTATTAGATTATTTTAGAGTTTGTATTAAAAACTTAGGAATGAGTAGTTTTGATATTGACATTGAGTTCAGTGTCACTTTGTGACAGAGTACTTATTTACAATCTTCTTTGAAGAGGCATTATAATCACTGTGAAAATCCCAAAAATACCCCGAAAAACGAAACAAGGGGGTTATCAAAAACATATATTTTTAAATAGGTTTTTTTACATAATCCTACTGCGACTTATTGAACATCTGTATGACACTATCTAATATTTACTTACTGAGAAGCTACTCTTGTGTGTGTTGTAGTGTTTGAGATTACCTCCGCGACCAATGTTATTTCATTTCATTTTTATTTTTCATTTGGAATATAGGTTATCGTTGTGTACAAACATACATTTTATATTTGTGCTGCCATATTCTGACTTGCTGACATGCAATGTCATTTCATTAAGTTTACTTTTAATTATTATTCCAGCAATGTGAAATATTACTATTTAACAATGGAATTATAAGTTAATTATTTAGATGTCTTTTTGAAAAAATATCAGCCGGGATACAAAAGTCTTACTGTTATTTCAAATCAGCGTATACGTCAGAATGAGGACAATGTCAAATTAAAAAAATATGTAAAATTACAAGATACTTAGGTCAATAAAACTGGGAAGCTTGCCCGGGTGGATGAGTTGAATCATCTTTGAAAATTGTATTTATTGTATTTATTTGTGCTCTACATGCCAACGAAAGGTTAATTTGGTATTGTTAAATAATCACAAAAGCAGTTCAGCAGTATAAATGCATTTGGTTACGCCGATATACCATTTGCGGCAATCTTGCCCAAAAGTATAGCTATTGTTGTGTTATAGTATTGCCTATATCTAGCGGGTATAATTGTGTATTTGATTGTCATTTCATTAAATTCCTACTTAATTTCTTGTACTTTATGTAAACTTGAACAAAAATCTTACCCATCAGCAGTGCTATTCTGTAAGAACCAACTCACTTTTTTATATATATATATTTCCAACACTCATGCCAATTAGCCTAGCCCCAAAATAAGCACTGTAAGGCTTGTGTTATGGGATGCTAGGGTAATGGACAGAATACATATACTGTACATATATAAGTTTATTTATATTTAAATACATACTAAACATCCATGACTGGAGTAGAAATGTTCGTATTCATCACACAAACATCTGTCCCCACCGGGATTCGAAACCGGGACCTCTCGAGTCGGCGACACCATGAAACCCGGAGTATAAGCAACTCGGCCACGGCGGTCGTTTTCGCCGCGGAATCCAAGATGGGATTTCAAATTGAATTGCGATTTTCAAATAATTTTCAAATCACACCAGCGAATTCCACGGTAAGAAGACAGGTGGTTCTTACAGAACAGCACTGCAGATATTTAGATATACCTACCATATCTTTATTTATCAGCTACAATATAGTTACAATAAATTCTGCAATACCAGAATATACTATAAGTTAAGACGTCCACTATAAACCCAATTCAGCTCCAATTAAAATTTGTTGGATTGTCATAAATTAAAATCGGTACAGTTTTGGTTTCGAAAATTTTCATGAATATGATTTTGCACATCATGCCCTTTTTCCAAAGTTGGCAAAGAATATGACGGCGAGTTAGACTGTCCATTTCCAGCCTATTACGCAACGATATCGCACTCCGAAAATACCCAAAAAATACTACGAAAGCAAAAAATATGTATGTTCCGCCCTTACTTGATATTTATAACTCTCACTTAATAACACAACGGAACGCATTGAAAACGCGAATAAAATGTAAATCCTAAACTAAATGAATTTCATTGAAAAAAAATGTAATATGTATCTATTTCCGCAATACTACAAGCAAGTGGAGCAACTGCGTACTTAAACTTAAAGTTAGTCAAAGTCAAGTGAAGTCAAAAAATAAGCACTTTATTTATTTTTACAAATAAAACTTAACAAGTGAGTTGCTGATGCCACCGTTTAAGCATAAAAATACCTGTACCAGGGGACACCGCTACTCCATAACAAAAAGTGAAGGGATGTGAAATCCAAATCAAAATATCCTTATATTGGATGCTTAATACTACTCTTTTGAATCAGTTTTCCATCCTACCGCACAAGAGCTTCCACTGAAAGAGAGTGAACAGTGATACAGTTTGTTTGTTTCGACAACTTTATTTTCTAATGAAAGACAGGATACTTAACTGCCTCTTTTAATTTTAAATATTATTCGGACAGCAAACAAGCACATAGTTCGTCGATAAACGGACGCTTGGGGCATCAGAAGTGTCATACGCGCGTTGTCCAGAAGTGTCGCACTTCTTCACGCTTCCTTTGAAGAATTCCGAGCTGTATATAGGGAAAACCGTAACGGAGAGCTCTTTATCACAGACTATTAATGTGGGGCACATTCCTACACTATGTCAGGCCAAGTGCGGGTTGGTGGGTACTAACGATAGCAGATGCAGCCGGGACCAACAGCTTCACGTGCCTTCCGAAGAATGGATGAGCTCTAGATCATAAGTTTTTGGTCACCAACCATTGCGAAAGTGGCTTGATTTCCACGATCGCAGGCCGCACGCGCTAGCTACTTGCGCCATCGAGCTCCTCAATAGAAAACTCATATCTAATTATCGTACGCCCCCGCGAAATGCCTCTGAAAATGCGCAGTACAGTACAGTGTCAGTACTCAGTTAAAATGTGAGGATGTTAAAAGGAGGCCGTGGGAATCATACTAAAAGTTATTCCAAGCAAACTCCATGGTACATACAAGATGTAGGAGGCAAAATCACTTCTTCACGTGTAAAATCTTCGGATCCCACGAAACCCATTCCGATTTTTAGTGGATAATGGTCTTATTGTCAGCAGCTATTGAGCCAGTCACAGGGCTGGCTAGCTGGTGAAGTCCTACAAAAGCTCACCCGTAGGCGAGGTAGGTATGCGTCATGCTTTTTTCTAATATAAAAAGTCTCTCCTGAGACACATCCAACTATTGTCCGCTCATTCTCTTGGTTAGTTTTGTTCAGCTCACATCACAAACGATATGGCTTCACTCGCCTTCACAACGAATGAACGAAGGAACTTCAGTTCCCCTTTTCCTGTTGTGACGGGTGTTTTACGAGGCTACAGACTGATTCACCAACAGAAACACGAAACCACCAAAAAGTAGAATTATTTCACCGTAGTTTGGAGTAAAGTGGAGGTTATTTTCCCAGACTATACTGTTTCAATAACCTTCGCAACGAATGTACGGACCAACCTCATTTCCCTCGCTCCCGGTGTGGCCCATGTTTTACGAGGCTACAGGCGGACTGCGAACAGCGCGTGCACCGTGACGCATTAGTCGCAGCAGCGCGAACGCCGATAAGCGCCGCGGGCGACGTTCTTGCCGCTGCCCTTATGTTACAAACACCCAGTTATTATTTCATTTAGAAACGGAAAGAAATCTGTATGTGAACTGAAATTTAAAAAATATCCTAAAGTATTAAAAAAACACTTTTTGAGATATGAAATCTAGTTTGATAGTTAAGTAAATATCAAAATACATAAAATCTTTATGCAGCT